GCCCTCGGCCGCGTGCCGGCCTCCCGGGCGGCTGAACTTGTACCTGAAGTGCTCGGCCCGCACCCACCTGCGGGAGGGCGGAGTCAGCCGGCGGCAGCCAGCGGCCGGCGCCCCGAGGACAGCCAGGCCCAGGGGCAGCCGGGCTCACCTGGGCGGGTCCCTGCCGGAGAAGGGGTTGTGGGCCAGCAGGGACGTGGCCTGGGCGTCGTTGGCCAGCAGCTTGCCGGCCAGGTGCAGGATCCACTCGTTGTGCTCGTAGGTCTGGAGGACGGCGTTCTGAGCGCTGGCACGCAGGTGCCAGCCGGCTGCGCTGGGCGCTGCTTGCCCCCGTGGCAGAGCCGGGGCATCCGGCGACGAGGGGTGCCCGCCCTCCCGCCAGCAGGAGCCGACGCCCTGGGCGAGCGCCCGGGCCTGGGGCTGGCCCCTAGTCCATGGTGAACCCTTGTGGGGACCCTCGGGCTTCTCAGCCTCCCCCCAGGGCGACCCCTCCTCGCCGGCCCCGGGGCCTCCTGCGGAGAGGCCAGGCGCACCTGGAAGGCCGCGAGCCACATGAGCCAGTCCAGGCGGTGGTGGTAGGGGGAGGCCAGGCACGGCCGGCGAGTGAGGCTGCCCGGTTTGCACTTGAACTCGTAGTCCTCCCACACGGCCTCGGGCGCGCTGGCGTTGGGGCTGGCCGTGCCCTGCAGCACCACCTCGGTGCGCTCCCTGCTGACGCTGTGGGGCGCAGCGGTCAGCGCCCGCGGCCCCTCCCAGCAGGCGCGACGCAGGCCCCTGCGCCTACCTCCCGAAGGCCCCGTAGGTGTTGACGATCCTGAGCGCGTCGAAGGAGCTGTTCATCACCTGCCGCGGGCTCAGCAGGTTGGCGACCACGGGGACGCTGAGCCAGGCCACCAGGACGGCCAGCGCCGCGTGGACTGTCTGCCGGGCCACGCGGCCTGGGGGGGCGTCCGAGTGAGCGGGCCAGTCTCCCAGAGCGCTCCCACCACCCAGGGCGGCGCGGGGCCACCGCCCCTCTCTAGCCTGGCGATCACGCAGGGTCAGGCCGGGGCCCCATGGGGGTGCCGACCACTGACCGCCCCCCGCCCCTGGGCGCCACCCACCGAGTCGTCGTGGGGCCAGGGGCGCGCCCCGGGCCGCCTCCTCCTGGATCTTCAGGACGCGATCCTTGAGGCCGCCGGGCCCGGCGGGAAACAGGGCGCCCAGGGCGGCGTCGTCAAAGCAGGAGAGGCTGGGCACGGCCGTCAGCCAGTTCAGGAAGCTCAGGTTGCCGCTGACCACGAGCGCCGCCTGCGGGGCGGGCCTGGGCTGACCGCGAGGGCCGCCTGCCGGGCGGGCCTGGGCCAGGCAGCCAGCTGGGGAGCCTGGAGGCAGGCGGAGCGCATGTGGCCGGGGAGAGGGGGTTTGTTGGCCTTGTGGGGGGCTGGTGCCAGGACCAGGAGAGTCCCATGGGCAGTGTGAGGCGAGCGGCCGAGCCGCGGGCCCACCCCCATGCCCAGCGCGCCCACAGCACCTGGTCACTCTGTGACCCAGGCTGGCAGGGACACTCCAGGTCAGCTTCACTGACCCAGATCAGGGTCCTGCTTTAGGCGCTTAGAATGGAGGCTGAAGTTCCCCTGAAGTTTCCCCCAGCCCCCAGTCAGCCGGCTCTAGACAGAGGGCCCGCCAGGCCTGCGGGTCTCTGGGGCTGAACAATGGGGGGCAGTCGTGTGCTGGGTGGGTGGACCTCGGCTCTCCTGGCCTCCTGGCTCCCACTGGGTCACTTCCTGCGCTCCACTGGGGCGCTGAGGGGTCACAGCCCCTCCCGCTGGGCCCTGGCTGCCCGTGCACCATGAGCTGTCAGGGCCTGCTGGACACCCCTCACTCAGTGACCACGCTCTGTCCCCTCCTGCTGGCTCGCATCTGCCACTGCGGCAATGGGGGTGCGGCTGGCCCTGCTCGGTGGTCCCCACCCAGGGCTCATTTTGGGGTCCGGCATGCAGCAGGGGCTCCGAGGGGCCTGGCTGCTGCTCCCTCGCCTGCCATGGTGGCAGCAACGCCATCCTGGGGTGCGGGCAATGCACCAGTGTGGAAAGGGGGGCTTCCAAATGCTCCGCTCCCACGCTGCCCGGTCCGGAAGGCAAGAGGCCCCCCGCTCAGGCCAGAGAGCCGCTGGAGCTGCGCTCTGGGGTGACAGCGGGTGCTGGGCGGGGTCTTGGGCAGCCCTGGGCACACCTGGGGGGCGCCAGTGCCACATCACGGTGGCCCCAGCAGGGTGCCCACCACCCCAGGGCAGGAGGGATGGGGCCAGGCTGCTGCTGCTGTCCAGCCAGGGGAGTGTCCAGGCCACTGGAAGACCCAGGAGTGGGCGTCTGTGGACTGGCCAGGCTCCACGGATGTCGGGGCGAGACTCCCGGGGGGCCAAGCCGCTGCCAGGCTGTCCCGGCTCCCGGGGGGCCTGAGAGCAGCCGGGAGACCCAGTGAGAGGAAGGGGGCAAGGCGTAGGGCCGACGGCTGCGGGCCGGGCCGGGCCGGGCCGGGCAGGCTGGTGACCGCGGGCGAGGGCGGGCGCGCAGAGGCGGGAGGCCGCGGGCTCACCTGGAACAGCAGCTGCAGGACACCGTGCAGCGCGCACATGCGCCGGCCCAGGAAGACGAAGAAGGGCACCGCCAGCTCTAGCACGTGGGTGCCCAGCGTCTCCGCGCGGTGCAGCCACCAAGGGGCGCGGTGAAGGAAGTAGGCCGCGGGGTTGGGCACCGGCTGTGTCTGCGGGGCACACCTGAGCGCAGGGGCCTCGGCCTGCGGGGCGCCCCGCCCTGGGGGAGCCCCAACCACAGGGCCAGCGCCCCTGCAGCCCAGCAGAGCGGGGCTCTGCGGCCCCGGCGGCCCCCACCCGCGGCCGAGCCCTCACCTCGTAGTGGAAGTCCATGCAGGTCAGGTCCCGCCAGCACTGGTCCCCGCGGACCTTGATAAGGCCCTGCGAAGGCAGCGCCGCTGAGCCCCGCCCACGCGCCGCTGAGCCCCGCCCACCGCGCCGGGCCCCGCCCACAGGCCACTCCGCTCCCCGCGTGAGGGCCTGCAGGTGTGGGGTGAGGGCTGGTCAGGGCAGGACACAGCCCCACACTGCCACGGCCGCGCCGAGGCCGAGGCCAAGAGGCCCACGGGCACCGCAGTGGGCAGCGGAGGGAGAGCAGCGAGCGGGCTGGCTCTCCTAGGGTCTCGGCCCACCTGCCCACCCACCATCCCTCATCCCTCCTCACTAACGCCAACTGGCCGGGACTGGAGGTCACGCGAGACGGCCACGGCCAGGCCCCGGCTGGGAGGGCC